AATTGTCATCACTGTCACCCAACATTTGAACAGAGAAAAAATGGATTAGTTAAGATGTTGATATTGGTGCTGCTTCCTTTAATCAACAGGTTCACATATTTGGATCATCTTTAGGAGGGTTTCTTGCTCAGAAATTTGTTGAACTGACAACTTCAAGCCCCAGGGTTCACTCGTTGCTTTTATGTAACAGTTTTGCTGATACATCCATCTTTAATTATACCGACAGTGCTGTACTGTAAGTACCTTTTTGTTCATGCAACCATCTTTAATTATACTGGCAGTGCTGTATTGTAAGTACCTTTTTTAATACAGCACTGTCAGTATAATTAAAGATGGTTGTATGAACGTAAGTACCTTTTTGTTGATACAACCACCTTTAATTATACTGACAGTGCTTAGTGTAAGTACCTTTTTGTTCATACAACCATCTTTAATTATACTGACAGTGCTGTATTGTAAGTACCTTCTTGGAATTAATTACTGTATATTCTGAATATCATGTTTTTGATATATGACTATTTAATTGAAAATGTTGTATTAATCTTTGACTGCGTAATCTTGCTGTTCATATATTCACTTTTTGTTATATTGATAATATTATATCATGTTTGTGTGATATACCACATATATATTTGTGTGAATATCAGGCCGATCAGAGCTAACGTGAATATAAATATATGATCATGTGTGAATATCAGGCCGATCAGAGCTAACGTGAATATAAATATATGATCATGTGTGAATATTAGGCCGACCAGAACTAACGTGAATATAAATATATGATCATGTGTGAATATCAAGCTGATCAGAACTAACTTGAATATAAATATATAATCACGTGTGAATATCAGGCCGATCAGAGCTAACGTGAATATAAATATATGATCATGTGTGAATATTAGACCGATCAGAACTAACATGAATATAAATATATGATCATTTGTGAATATCAGGCCCATCTATACAGATCTATTATGAACTTAGATATATGACAAGATTATCTAAAGAGTTGAGGGGCTATCTCCACTCCCTCTATTCTGTCACTTCAAAAGTAGGTACAGCTTGAGCTGATAGTCCTTGTAAAGCTTTGTGCAATAATAATAACACTTACGTAGGTTTAATTATAAGTGCTAGTTGCCGAGTAAAAGTGTTACAAACATATTCCAGGTTCTGGATGATGCCTTCCTTAGTTCTGAAGAGAATGGTTATGAGCAATTATACAAAAGGAAATCTTCCTCCCGAGATTGCCAATTCTGTTGATTTTATGGTGGATAAGGTAATATCAATCTTGTATACCGTTTCTTTAAGTCCTACAAATTTCAAACTGTTTCCATGTAATAAGTGGGCAAACATTTAAACTGAGAATAAACACATCATTTTCCAATTTTTAAAAATAGTTCTTCTGGCTGTAATATGTTTGTGTTGTGATTGTTTTCTTTTTTGCATGTAAATTTTTCCGTTTAAACATTGTTGCTGTATTTTCCTCCGTTATAAACTACTAACTTTTATTTCTTTAGCTGGACAGCCTTACACAACCTGAACTTGCATCTCGACTCACTCTCAATTGTGTGAACTGCTACGTAGAGCCACAGAAGCTGTTAGACATACCAATGACAATAATCAGTGTAGGTTTTGATGTTTATTTTGGGGTTGCTATGTACGATTGTAACGTGAATTGTAAATATGGATAAAACAATAATATTTTGTGTTACACAAATTGTATGCTTGTAGCAGAAAAAAATCACAGGACAATAAAGCAGGTGAGTAATCTGTGCTTGTTTCAGGATTAACCCTGCAATTATTGGCTTTTTAAACACATTAGTTTGTTGATTATGAGGTTCCTAATTATGTAAGAGTTAGACACACACACAAAAAAATTAATCATCTTTATCACTGACAATTTCATTCCTGTACAAAAGGAATGTTTTAGTTAATATTGTGATTTGTATTGGTAAAGTACTTTATGTAGGAACAAGTGACAGTTGTGTACGGTACCAGTTTTACACTCATTCTCCTTAACGTATCCATTTGTCGTTACATGCTATGTAACTGGTACGTGATAGCACCAACAATAAGTGTCAAACAGTATTAATTTATCTT